AAAGCAGGGCGCTCACGCAGAGGCATCACGCAGAGGCATCCTCGGTGGTCTCGAGAGCCCGCGCTGCGGGAGCGCCCGTCACACGCGAGACCCGGCCTCGTAGACCTCATGAGGCTGCAGCCGTGCACGCACGCGGCCGGGCGCGTGCGTTCTGTTCCGTGCTCCCCAATGGGGACAGGGCGATGAGCCTGTTTTCCACCACCATCACCACCACCATTAGTTGGAGGGGGGAAGGAGGAGGAGGAGGAGGAGGAGGAGGAGGAGGAGGAGGAGGAGGAGGAGGAGGACGACGAAGAAGAGGAGGAGGAGGAGGGGGAGGAGGAGGAGGACCCCCCCTCCAACTATGGTGGTGGTGGTTGAAAACACGCCCATCAGAGGTTGTGCCGCTGGCCGCGGGCCGGGTGGGGGGGGGCTGGCGGGCGAGGGGGCGGAGGTGGGGGGGGGGGGGGCGGGGGGGGGGGGGGGGGGGGGTGGGGGGGGGGGGGGGGCGGGGGGGGGGTGGGGCCCTCAGGAGCGGATCAAGTGGGCGTGCGTGAACTGGTACCCAGAGGAGGAGAAGGTGCCAGTACCGCTGCCCTTGCCTCGTTTCCGCCTCCCTGGGGTTCTTGGGAAGCTCTCGTCGCCACCGCCGGATTCGCCTCGAAGTTCTGCGAGAGGTCCCAGGGTTAGCGGTATCGGTATCTTTTGGTTTCCCCAGGTACGGGCCGCAGAGCGAGAAGTACGTGGTTGGAGGCCTTGAGGTGGCCCCGCTGGGCGAGATCGTGGAGCGGATCGTGGCGTTCGGATTCAATTGCGTGCGCCTCCCGTACTGCACGCAGGCGCACGTGGACAACCCGGTCGTCCAGGACGAGGACGTGTTCGCGAACCCGCAGTTCCAGGGCGGGAGGCGTTTCCTCGAGGTGTGGGATGCGACCGTCGAGGCTCTCACGTCCGCGGGGCTGATGGTCATCATCAACAACCACCTTCACGTGTGCGGGTGGTGCTGTTATTACGCTCAGGACGAGGGCCTGTGGTATGTCCCCGGCTTCCCGGAGTCCGTCTGGATCGAGAGCCTCGTCAACATGACCGAGCGACACCAGAACGACTCCATGGTCGTCGCCATGGACCTCCGGAACGAGGTCCACGACTACGAGGATACGTGGCTGACCTGGGGCGACGGCAACGAGAAGACCGATTGGGCTGCAGCCGCGACCCGGGCGGGTAACGCGGTGCTGCGGGCGAACAGCAACATTTTCCATGGCCCGCTGGCCACCCCGGGCGCCAGGGGCCTAGGCATAACCAATCAGACCGTCCAGAGATCTTCCTCCTCCTCCTCCTCCTCCTCCTCCTCCTCCTCCTCCCCCTCCTCCTCCTCCTCCTCCACCTCCTTCTCCACGTGCCTCTCCTCCTGGAGGGAGGAAGGGGGAAGGAGGGGGGAGCAGGAGGAGCGAGGAGAAGCGAGCAGGGGGGATGAGGAGGAGGAGCGAGGAGGGGGAAGGAGGAGCGAGGAGCGAGACGGAGGAAGTTCCCCCTCCTCGCTCCTCCCCCCTCCTTCCCTCTCATCCTTCCCCGTCTTTCCCCTCCTCCGCGCGCGCGCTCCCGCGCACGCGGATTGTTGGTCATTGAGGGGTGGAGGGGAAGTGATGGGCGGATCGGAGGGTGGAGGGAGGAAGGGGGAAGGGAAAGAGGGGTAAGGGGGGGAAAGGAGGGGGAGGGTTGGGGGAAATGGGAAGGTGTCGGGGGTGTTCATTCACGCAGCTCGACCCAGGAACGGACCAAGCAGACCTTTGGGGACAAGGCTTCGAGGGCTCCTTTTTCGTCCACCACGCCCCTCTACCTCCTCCTTCCTACCTCCTCCTCCTCCTCCTCCTGCTCCTGCTCCTGCTCCTCCTCCTCCTGCTCCTGCTCCTCCGCCTCCGCCTCCTCCTCCTTCCTCCTCCTCCTCTTGCTCCTGCTCCTCCTCCTCCTCCTCCTCCTCCTCCTCCTCCTCCTCCTCCTCCTCCTCCTCCTCCTCCTCCTCCTCCTTTGCTCCGTTGCTCCGTTGGTGCCTGGATCCCCTACACTGAAAGCGCGAACATCCAGAAACAAAAAGGGTGAGTCGGGGTCGGCTGCCCAAACACACCACGGATCGCTGCGCGCCCACAAGCTCCTGCGGTGAAGAGCCTGAGGGAAAAAATGCCAACGAATTGGCAAGCAGCAGAGCGCAAGACAGCTGGGGGGAACAAGCCTCACTGCCTAAACGGTTTTCGAGCTGCGTCCGCCCCGCAGGGCTCAGATTACGACACCCCCAGTGCCGCCCCGATAAGCCACCCGAGGGGCGCCACTCCCTCGGGCGACCGCACGCCCCCACGCACGCCAGGGCGGGGGCCCCTGGCCGTGGGAAGGATGGGTGTGGTTCCGCCATGAGCCCCCCGAAGGGGACCGCCCACCCGCCCAGGCACCCGCGGCGTGCGGGCCGGGCCACCGCAAGGGGTGGGAAACGTGGCGACGAGGGTGCAATTTTCTCTCCCCATGGCCCCCTACGGGCAAACAGGGGTGACGAACGGGCTGCTACCCGCCTGTTTTCCTGGGACGCCCGAGGGCACCCAGTGGCAAAGGTGCCCCTCCTCCTCCTCCTCCTCCTCCTCCTCCTCCTCCTCCTTATCCTCCACCTCCTTCCTCATCTCCTCCCCCCTCTTCCTTCGAGACTATTTCTCAATTGCTTGGGGCATGACGGGCGTCATGGCCCCCCGCCTCCCCCCCCCTATGGACGTACAGCCCCCCCCCCCCCCAGTGCGCTCCGGGCACTGCCGCCGTGCGCGCTGAGATCCGCGTAGGTGTCCGCGCAGGAATCCGCATAGGAGTCTGGTCCGCAGTCGTCGTCGTCGTCGTCGTCGTCGTCGTCGTCGTCGTCGTCGTCGTCGTCGTCGTCGTCGTCGTCGTCGTCATCGCTCGTGGCCCGTCGCTCATCGTCGTCGTGCGCGCGGACGCGGCTGGATCCTGTTATTTGTTCCGGGACGATCACGGCAATCATCTGAGGGGGTGTGGAGGGGGTCGGTGACATCATGTTTCGCACCGGCGGCGTTTGAGAATGCCTAGGAATGACCGAGGACGGGTAGCACCAGCATGGAGGTGGCGATCTGCACCACAACGCCTGTGTACACAACAGTGCCTGCGTGTACCACAGCGCCTGTGAACACCATACCGCCTACGTACACCACGGCAGCCGCGTGCAACACAGCGTCAGTTTGTACCACCGTGCTCGCGGGCACAACAGCTGTTGTGTACACCGCAGCGCCTGCGTACACCACATCAGCCGTGTGCAACACAGCACCAGTGTACACCATAATGCCTGCGTGCATTGCAGTGTCTGTGTACACCACGGCGCCTGTGTGCACCACAGCAACCGTGTACAACACAGCGCCACACTTGCATATAGAATGTTAAGAAGGAATCCTTATGACAAAATGGAGCGCTTGTGGGTTCCACAGAAAATATTACAAAGGAATCCTTATGGACAAAGGAGCGCCTTTGGAATCTACGAGTTCTCCCGAGTCCGCCCGCATAGCCCTAACTTATCCCATCTGTGTCCAGGAGGCTCCAGCCCAATTGGCCGTGCGAGAACCAAGTTGACCGATTCAATAGACCATTATGCGGTGCACTGCGCGCTGAATTGCGCACGTGCGCTGTAGCTCCACCCCGCACGACAGGGGGTACGGAGGAGGAAGGGGAGGAGGAGGAGGAGGAGGAGGAGGAGGAGGAGGAGGAGGAGGCGGAGGAGGAGGAGGAGGAAGAGGAGGAGGCGGAGGAGGAGGAGGCGGAGGAGGAGGAGGCGGAGGAGGAGGAGGAGGAAGAGGAGGAGGCGGAGGAGGAGGAGGAGGAAGAGGAGGAGGAGGAGGAGGAAAAGGATGGAGGTGGAGGAGGAGGTGGCGGAGGAGGGAAGAAGGAATAACGTCGCATTCGATTATCAGCACTGTCCTGCACGCAGGCACTGTGGTGTACACTCGCGCTGCGTTGCACGCGGATGCTGTGGTGTAGACAGGCGCTGTGGCGTGCACAGGCGCTGCGATGCACTCAAGCATTGTGGTGTGCACAGGCGCTCTGTTGCACATGGTTGCTGCGGTGTACGCATGTACACTGGCGCTGTAGTGTATGCAAGCACTGTGGTGTACACATGCGCTGCGTTGCACACGGTTCTTGCGGTGTACGCAGGTGTTGTGGCGTTCGCGCGCGTTGTGGTGGACGCGAGCGATGTGTACACAGGCGTAGTGAGGCATATAGCCACCTACATGTTGCTCGCGTCCTTCTCGTCGTCGTCGTCGTCGTCGTCGTCGCTCGTCGCTCGTCGCGTCGTGCGCGCGGAGGCGGCTGTGGTGCCAGAGCCACACGGCGGGGGGGGGGGGGCGTTACGTCATATCCCCCCCATGACGCCCGTCATCGCCGAACATGAAGAAACGCTCTCCTCCCTACCCGCGTACCTTGTGCTGGACCAGCTTGTTTGCGGGGGTGGTGCACAAACGTCGCGTCCCAAGGGGATGCCGTCTTTGTACACAAACCCCGCTCCGCGGTCTTGCGCCGGACCAGCTTGCTTGTGGTGGTTGTGTACAACGGCCGCGCTCCCACAGGCGCACAAGGCAAGCAATCTCCCGATTTTGACGGCTGTGGCTTGGTCCGTGGAGTTAACGTTGGCTGGTTCCTGGGCCTCCTGACCCTCAGAGTGGCGAGTCGACCACGGGGCGTGCTGATAGTGGTCATGGCCCTGTGTTCTGGCATGGACCTCAGGGGCGCCATCGACAGTCCCATCAACCTCTCGGTCAGTCGGCGGTTGGTGTACCAATCTGGGGAGCCGGGGGAGAGGCACACCGCACACGCATGAGATTTGCAAGAAGACCTGGAACCTCCGACGTCTTGCTCTCTTTCGATATTGAGGCGTTCCAGAAATTGCCCTGCCTTCGAGGGTCGAAGGAGTTGGCATCTCTTCCTCGGCGGAAGGGCGGCGGAAGGTCGGCGGAAGTAGACGAGGCCGCCCGCGCGGGCGGAAGCCGGCGGAAGGCTGGCGGGAGGCTGGCGGGAGTAGAACGCTGCCCCCCAAGAGATGAAACCGTTTTTGGGGGTTCAGGGTGTCCGAGATCGGCCACAATCAGGAGAGGAAAAACACACACAGACACAATGAATCCTCGATTCCCTTGAACATGTTGGAAAATAGGGGAAGTGTGGGGGAAGACAGAAACCCAGAAAATATGGGAAAACCTGTGGAATCGTTTTATTTGTGTGTATTTATCTGTGTGTCCCAGGGCCCCTTCACACAGGGTGGGTGTTCGCTGGATCTTGGCCTCTTGGAGGCCGTCTTCGGGCGCTGGAGCCCTCGCGCGCCGGTCCAGGAGGAGGAGCCGGTCTCTCCGTGGAGGGCCGGAGGGCTCCAAAGGGGGCTTTTGGGGGGAGGGGGCTCTCGAGGAGGGGGTTCTCGAGGAGGGGTCTCGAGGAGGGGGTTCTCGAGGAGGGGGTTCTCGATGAGGGGGTTCTCGAGGAGGAGGGGTTTTGAGGGGAGGGGGTTCTCGAGGAGGGGTCCCCCAGGGGCTTCGAACCCCCTGTTCTGACGAGGTTCCGAGGCCCCTGGAGGGCTCTCTGGAAAAAAACCCTCCCCCAAGCCCCCTTTGGAACCCTCCGCGGAGGGGCCGAGGGGTCCGTGGCCACGGGCGCGGAAGGCGCCGCGGCGCCGGCGGTCTGGCAGTCAGACCCCCGGCGGAGGCCGCTCCCGCAAGGAGCTCGGGGGAGCTTTGGGCAGGGCCCGATGGGCTTGTTTTCCACCACCACCACCACCACCAGAAGTTGGAGGGGGGAAGGACGTGGAGGAGGAGGAGGAGGAGGAGGAGGAGGAGGAGGAGGAGGAGGAGGAGGAGGAGGAGGAGGAGGAGGAAGGAGGGAGGAGGAGCAGGAAGGAGGAGGGAGGAGGAGGAGGAGGAGGAGGAGGACGGGGGGAGGGGAGGAGGAGGAGGAGGAGGAGGCGAGGAGAGGAGTGGAGGAGGAGGAGGAGGAGGAGGAGGAGGAGGAGGAGGAGGAGGAGGAGGAAGTCCCCCTCCCCCTCCAACTCATGGTGGTGGCGGTGGTGGAAAACAGGCCCATCAGGGCCTGCCTGAAGATCCACGGATCTCCTGCGGGCCAACTGGAGCCTCGGCGGCCGCCTCGGGGCCCCGAGCGGGCTGTGGGATCCTCAAAGAAAGCGACTCGCCGAGCCTGGGATCGATCACAGAATCTATTTACCCCGCGATTGGGTCGCCCGTCGAGTCCACAGGGGGAATGCGTCGAGTGTTGGTGGATCCACGGACCTTCGCCGCGTGCATCACGGAGTCGACGAGGCAACCGAGTCTGGGGCAAGTCAATGTTGCAGTCGATCCCCTGCTCTAACTCGGGATGTGAAGCGAAGAGTGGGTCTCTGGGAAGGGGTCGGAGGTTGACAGACCTCCTACTCTGACACATCGATTAGCGAATTGGCCGTTTTCGGTTCGCGAGAGGGCGTCGCGGCCGTCATTTTTGCGGGTCCAGCCAGGTCCGTCGGTTTCGGTCCTAGGCCGTTTTCACTAAAGGGAGGTTTACCAAAGGGAGGTTTGTCCACCGCCGAAGGGGTCGGGGCCTCTGAGGTCCACGCTGCGGCAAGGACACACGAGAGCAGGTCGTCGGAGTTCTGGGTACTGCCCGTGCCCGACCCCGTGTCCGCCCTCTTCTGGCCTCCTCCCTCCTCCTGTCCTCCCCGTCCTCCTCCCTCCCCTGCTCACCCTCCCTCCTGCCCCTTTGGGGGGGGGGGGCAGGTCGGGCAGGACGAACAGGAAAGGGATGGTAGAGGAGGAGGAGGAGGAGGAGGAGGAGGAGGAGGAGGAGGAGGAGGAGGAGGAGGAGGAGGCGGAGAGGCGGAGGCAGGAGGAGGAGGAGGAGGAGGAGGAGGCGGAGGAGGGAGGAGGAGGAGGAGGAGGAGGAGGAGGAGGAGGAAGAAGAGGGGGGGGAGGAGGAGAGGGAGCCAGGAGAAAGAGGACGAGGAACGGAGGGAGGGAGGAGGAGGAGGAGGAGGGCGGAGGAGGAGGAGGAGGAGGAGGAGGAGGAGGAGGAGGAGGAGGAGGAGAGGACGGAGTATAGCGACGAGTGTAGGAGCAAGGAGGAAGAAGGAATGATGAGCTAGGAATGACAAATGAGGACCGGGAGGATGATGATGAGGAGGAGGCGGAGGAGGAGGAGGAGGAGGAGGAGGGGAAGGGCGAGGAGGACGAGGGCGAGGGATATGGGGAGCCTTCCTTGGGCCCCCCTGCAATCGCACAACTACGTCGAGTTCCAGTGGTGGGCTTACGTCTCGGCGAACGTCGTCTCCTGGAAGACGGTGCAGGTCGCCAGCGCGTTCGCTGGGCTGCTCTTCTCCTTCGCGACGTGGCTTCTGCTGAGGCGTGGCTCCAACTCTCTTCTGCGTGTGGTTCTCATACATCGCCCCCCTCTCCACGTCCCCCTCCTCCTTCCCCCTCCTCCTCCCTTCATACATTGACTTGTTGAAGGTTAAGGCCTACTGGGCATGGTATCTGGAGTCCCTCCTCCTGCTCCTCCTCCTGCTGCCTCTTTTCCTTGCCCTTTTCCCCTCCTTCCTGGTCCTTCTCGAGTGACGAAGGAGGAGGAAGAAGGAATGAGGAGGAGGTGAAGGAGGAGGAGGAAGAGGATGATGATGAGGAGGAGGGGGAGGGCGAAGCGGACGAGGAGGAGAAGCAGGACAATGAAGAGGAGGAGGAGGAGGAGGAGGAGGGGGAGGAGGAGGAGCAGGAGGAGGAGGAGGAGGAGGAGAGGAGGAGGAGGAGGAGGAAGAGGAACAGGAGGAGGAGCAGGCGGATGCCCCTCCACCTGAGGTACTAGAGACCCCAGAGGTATCCTGAGTTTCTCCCCCCCGCAAACCGGAATGTTCCAAAAGGGGGAGGTCCCCTGAGAGGAAGCAGGTGGATGAGAAAGGAGGCAGGAACGAGAGGAGGAAAAGGAGGAGGAGGAGGAGGAGGGAGGAGGAGGAGGAGGAGGGAGGAGGGAGGAGGAGGAGGAGAGGAGGAGGAGTTGGAGAGTATATGAGCAAGGGCGAGGGAGGAGGGGGAGGAGATTTTGGAGGAGGAGGAGGAGGAGGAATGAGGAGGAGGAGGAGAAGGACGAGGAGGGGGAAGAGGAGGAGGAGGAGGAGGAGGAGGAGGAGGAGGAGGAGGAGGAGGAGGAGGAGGACAAGGTCGAGGACGAGGACGAGGACGAGGACGAGGAGGAGGAGGACGAGGAGGAGAACGAGGATGATGATGATGATGAGGAGGAGGAGGAATCAGGAGTGAGGAGTGAGGAGGGCGCTGTCGTTGGGGGCGAGGGCGGCAAGAGAGTGTGGATCCAGGCTGATTGCCCATGCTCGGGGCACATTTTTGCCAGCTTTACGAAGCGAACGAATGGCAGCTTGAGACCTCTATGGGGTGGCTTGCATGCTTGAATCTATGTTGGATGGTGGGTTCTGGCCTCGAGTGGACACGGCTGACTTCATTGAGTGGGACCGCAGGTCTTTCAATATGTACGCTGAACACGTCGCCAATGTGGCTTTGGACCGGAGGGCAGCATAGGATTACCAAGATGTCCAGGCCTTTGAAACAGCGAAGGCCTCAGAGATGCCGTATTGCTTTGACGGCGCAGTGCTTGACCGCATCTGCGGCGATGAGGATACCGACGTTCTCATATAAATTACTGGTTCTGTGAGGCGGTTGGGGTTCATCGCGGGGCTAGCCTCTTCGCTGCAACACTTCTGGAATTACATGCTGTTTCTCCATCCTCGGCCATCAGTGGCGGCGCGTGTGCGCGTGTGGGCATCACTTCTGCGCGAATCGAAAGAAAATAAGGAGGAGGAGGAGGAAAAGGACGAGGAGGAGGAAGAGGACTTCACCATCGCGTTAACTGCCAGCCTCAAGGCCCTGGCTGGCAGTCCCCTCGCCCCTGGGAGTGGCCGCGGCCACCCCCAGGTGACCGCCCTATTTGAGGGTCGGTGCAGATGTCTGCCGGCTCCCGCCCGATCGTTGTGCGCGGGCGGCGGGAGAGGCCCGCGCGCATCGGCCGAAGGAGGAGGAGGAGGAGGAGGAGGAGGAGGAGGAGGAGGAGGAGGAGGAGGAGGAGGAGGAGGAGGAGGAGGACGAGGACCCCAAGTCGGCCCAAGGGGGCCCTCAGACGGCCCGCATGGAGCCCCCAAGACGGACTCCGAAAGCGCCCAGACGGCCCAAGAGCGCCCTCCCTCAGACGGCCCAAGGAATTCTCAAGAGCCTTCGAGGCGCCCCCCAGACGCTGCCGAGAGGCCCCTAGGGCAGAGCTCGGGGGGGTTGTGCACGGGGGGGTAATCCAAGGTGGGGCGGGGGAGCGAGCCCAGATGGATGCTCACATTTCCTGCCTCCACAGGCCGTTGGCATCGATGTTCCTCTCACCCCCCGCCTCTGCCCCTACTCCGCCGTGGCGCCCCCTCGAGGAGCGAGTAATCGGCACCATTCAAACATACTTACCCAAACATGTGCGTCGGCCACGCAGAGGCGACGCGAACGCTCAGGGATCTTAGAGAGTCGAAGCTCCGTGGCGAGCGCTTTCTGGTAAGCCGCTCGGGGAGCGATCTGATGCAAGATGTCCAGCACTAAGTCGTATGTTGGGAGATCGGTGCCCCTTGTGTGGTCTACTCAGGGCTGGGTCTCGATGGGCCAGCCTGAGTAGCGTTACTGTCGTATTCTTGCTACCTCATCGCTACGGCCTCGTGCGCGGTGACGGAGCTTCCTGAGTCCAACGGGAGTCCAACAGGAGGAGGAGGAGGAGGAGGAGGAGGAGGAGGAGGAGGAGGAGGAGGAGGAGCGGCGGGGGTGGGAGGAGGAGGAGGAGGAGGAGGCGGAGGCGGAGGAGGAGGAGGGAGGCACGGAGGCGGAGGAGGAGGAGGAGGAGGAGGAGGAAGAGGAGGGGGGTGGGTGAGTAGGAGGAGGAGGGGGCGGAGGAGGAGGAGGCGGGGGTGGGTAGGAGGAGGAGGAGGAGG